TATTTGTGTTATTTGTATGTATAATAGATGTTATTATTATTATTATACTGTAAATATATTTCATATTAGTTTGTTAACATATATATTAATTTGTATGTGTATAGTATAGTGTTGTTAATACTAATAATAAAATTGATTGACATTTAAAATGTATTTTTTAGATTTTTTTTGTATTGTTATGTTTACTAGTTTAATATTATTGGCGTTAATTTTTTATATATATAAATTGACCCAGTGTAAATTTTATGATATATATTAATAATAATAATAATAATAATTTATTATCTGTACATGGTATATATATTATTGAGTAAAAACTTATGGAAAATAATAATTTTTATTTTTAATACTTTATTAATAAAAATTTTTTAAAAATAGTAATTAACAGTACATATGAATGCATACATTGAAATTAAATTGTAAATTATTTTTATAAAAAGCTACTTAACTATGCAATAGTTTTTTTTATTATTATTTTTATTTTCCTAAAAATTTTTTAATTAACATCTAAAAATTTTCATCATATATTACAAATATGAATAAAATATATTAATAAAAATATTATTTCAATTTTTATTATATTATATATATTAAAAACTTGTTGCCTATAAGGCTTTTGAGCACTAAATAAATAAATTAAAATAAAAGGTTATTATAAGTACTAAAAATTCAATTTTAATTAACAATTTTTATTTAAGTATTAATTAATCTAAAAATAATTTTAATTATATATATATATATTTTTACTGTAAATTATTATTACTGGTTTGTAGTGTTTTAACTACTTATTATAGACACATAAATTTATATGCAATGAATAAATTTAATTACATTGATTAGTTATTTTTAGACATTTAGAAAATAAATTTATTTAATTAAATTTATTTTTTTATTTTATTCAATAGATATAACAGATAATAATAATAATGGAAATATTATTTATAATAAATAATAAATTATTTTAAAAATATTGTATCTAAAAGTCATAGTCTATATCTAATTGATTATAAATAGATGTTAGATCTTATTGGTTTATAAAATAAAAAATAATATATTAGATATTTTTTTTTAAATCCCATTATTTTTATTATTATTATTATATTTTATACAATATTATATATGTGACACAATATGCAGTATATTATAATGCTAGAAATATTTATTTTTTAAAACAAATTGAAACTAGTATATATATTGTATATTTTTTTCATAAAAAATCATTAAAATAAATATATATTTTTTTATAATAATAATAATAGTGTATCTATTATTTTGTATTAAATTATAAATATATTTGTTGAATATTATACTTTAGTGAAACAATTTATATTATTTTTTTATATATATATATATATATATATATATATATATATATATATATATATATATTTAATAGATATATGATTTATTAGTTATACAAAAAATTTATAGAAAATATAAATACTATAATTAATTATAATTTTTTTATATTTTTAAAAAACTTTATGTATATTTAAATTTATATATATATTTATGTTTAGTTATTATAAAAGATATTATTTATATTTATTAAATGATTATTATTATTCAAACAAATTAATTATCAATAATTTTCTAGTGAATAATTAGAAATAATTTATTATTATTATTATTATTATTATTATTATTATTATTATTAATTAGTTATTATTTACTAAAAAATTAATTTATATTGTACTTTGAATAGATGTTTATACTATTAATGTCACAAACATTTTATATTTAATGATTTATAAATACAATATATTGTACTTGTTATAGTAAATAGATATTTGAAATAATGATCTACTAGTATAGTATAGTAAAATAAATTTATATACCTATACATAATGTATACAGTATTAGGACTACATGTATATTTAATGGACAGGTATCTAATAAGGTGCCGACACACACACATACTATAATTTATTTATTTTTTGTATAAATACATTACAATTGGTCTACAATTATCGATATCAATAGTTTAATAATTAAATTAAACAATAAATATAATAATCAAAATACACATTTTTTGTTACAAATTAATATATTAATATGTAGCAAAAATAAAACTAGAATATTATTATTATTATTATTCTAACATTACTTAATATATTTTTTTAATATATGATAATAATAATAATAATAATAATAATATTATTATTATTATTATTAGTAAATATAACAATAATATCAATAACAAACACAAAAATAAATTACATGACATCATAATTATGATTGTCATTATTTTTGCATAAACATGATATCTAGTGATGTTATGTTTATGTCACTAAAATATGACATCAAATTTTATATGCCTATCATTTATAATGTCTAAAACTTGTATTGTAGTTATAAATATAAATATAACAATACATTTAGAGTTTACCTAAAAATATTAGGCGTTATTTACATTAAGGTATGATTATTATATTATATGTATAATTAGTACTGTATTGCTAAATATAAATAGATATATAGATAACTATTTAAATAAATTTTTTTTAATTAAATTTATTTATTCAATATTTATATACCCTGTATATATTCAATAGTAAACGTAAATAATTAAATAACATTTATTTATCAAAAATTATTAACTATATAAAATTTCTATAATAACAACAAAAACAACAAATATTATTCATAAAAATTATGGTTATAATTACTAAATAATTAATATTTTTTTTTAATAATAAAAAGTTTGTTAATTAGTTTTGTAATTAAAATGAAAGTTATATAATATTGCATTTAGTTTACACATGTTTTTTGTTTTATTTAATATATATATATATATATAATTTATAATATATATACAGTACTTATATATTATATATATATATATATATATATATATTAATAGTTTGCCTATTTTTTAGTGATAACAATAAACATAATATATATATGTTTTGTTTGTTTGTTTGTTGTTAGCAAATAAATTAAATAGCCATTTTAATTAAAATATTTTAATATTATTATTATGAAACTTATTGTCGAAAAAAAACTTAATTTTTTAGTAAGATTTAGTAAATATTTTTTTTCATGTCTTTATTTGAATAAAATAATTTTTTTGTTGAGTTTATATTAATGCAACTAAACATAAATTTTATTATTATTATGTAAAAAAAATTATAATACTATATATATACTTTAATTATTCACCTTAATATTTTATATTGTAATTTAATTTTTTTACATAAATATCTATATATTATTTTTTTTAAATATAAATAAATATGATATTCATGTTTTTATTAAATTCAAATCAAATAAAAATCAATGTTATATTGTTTGTACACTAGATATTTGAATATATATATAAATATATATATATATAATATAAATTAATACAATAATACAATTGAGCATGCTTATTTAATGTATTGTAAGGTTATATAACAAAATATATATTATTTTTCAAACATGTTTTTAGATCATTAAACTAAACAACATATTAAGGTTTTCAACAAAAATTAAATACAATAATAATAATAATATAACAAATTTATATCAAATATATATATATATACTTTATCTATAAAGTTATTAAATATTTGTGTGTGTGTGTGTGTGTCTTGTTTAATAATTCATTACATTATATAAATATATTACATCACTTGATTTGCATATAATTTTTATCATTATATAAACTATTATACAATCTATATATATATATATCAGTGTATATATGATAAAACTTTTATGTTTGAATTCATTAAATATTAAAATGACACATATTTTATGCTATGTATGTGATATAACAATGATTTTTTTTGTGTGTGTCGTTGATATAATAGTTGTTTCACTATTGATAGTACTTATAAATTTATATATTGTTAATATTGTTACCAAAAATATATATTGTTTTATGTTTTATTAATAATGTTTTTTTCATATGTGTTGATAATATTTTCATTGTGTGTATGTTTTTTGTTAGTGTGTGTGTGTGTGTGTCAGTCCATTGGGTTTATCATATAATAATAATAATACATATATATAAAAAAATAGCCATCAGTTTCGCCAATAATAAAATACATAATCAGAAAATAATATTAATTTAATAGTAAAAAAAAGATTTAGTTTTTTTTTCACTCACGATATAACGATATTTATATATATATGTATATAAAATAGTTAAAGTGTGTCCCAAAACACAATGTGTAATCGTTTATATTATTATTATTATTATTATTATCTTATATTATAATTTATAAATAATATATTATATTAATATATATAAAATAGATGATTGAAAACTTTATCTATCAAGTAATACTATTGATACTAATAATAATAATAATAATAATAATACTCTACTAATACATGTATTAATACTGAATTATAATTTTTATCATTATTATTATTTTTGTGTGTTATCTAAACATAGTATATAAAGTATATTAAATATATTAAATATTTTAGTTTTAATAGTTTTATATTATTTACCTTGAATAATAATAATATTAATGCAAATTACTATTAAATACACTAATAACAATAATAATAATAATAATAATTTAATATATATATATCTATATAATGTATTAATAAAATTGTATGAAAATTTGTTTGTATTAAAACATTTATAGATATCAATACAAACAAACAAAAAATTAGTGTAAAATTTTGCCAAACAAGTCAAGTGTCTAAAGTTATACACTAATAATAATAATAATATCAAATGATTAATAATTTATTTTTTTAATTATTTATTAATTAATTAAAACAATAAACCCCGGGGGGAGGTGTTAGAGGGTCAAAGTCAAAGTGCTCGCGGCACCGGTAAAAGTTGACCACCACCACCATCATCAGCACCATAGGGAGGGTAGATCATCATCAGCACACCATCAACAACAACAACAACATCATAGGGAGGGTAGCCGACGGCACCCAAGCCAACGATCAAGCAGTGCTCGACGTCATGGGGGCGGCGGTGGCGGCGGTACGGCMGCCGTCGCCGCCGCCTCGGCCACCGGTGGCCTCAATTGTACGCCCAATGCTCGTGTTATGCGCCGCTATTCGCTGGCGCCCAACGATCTGCTTTTCGGCTACCAATCTAACTGTCCGACAAAGTTGTTGCACTCAAATCGCCGCAAATCTATCCTATCGTCGACGCAGTCGTCGGCCAATACTACGGTGTCGGCGGTATCGGCGACAGCGGTGGTCAACGCATCCTACAAATCAAACTCCAGGTATAGTATAGTCTAGTATAGAGATTATTAGTGTGTGTGTGTGTGTGTGTGTGTGTGTGTGTGTGTGTGTGTGTGTGTGTGTGTGTGTGTGTGTGTGTGTGTGTGTGTGTGTGTGTGTGTGTGTGTGTGTGTGTGTGTGTGTGTGTGTGTGTGTGTGTGTGTAATATTATAAGTAAATTAAAAAAGGTTTAAAAATATTATTTTTTGGGATAATATATTTTTTGTTGCAATAAACTACTACTACTACTACTACTACTACTACTACTACTACTACTACTACTACTACTACTACTACTACTACTAACTATTGATAATTGATACTTAAAAATATACATGTAATGCACGATTCATTTATTTATTTATTTATTTTATAGTATAATTTATAACTTAATTATAATTTAATTAATTAGTATTTAATTGTAGATATTAATTTATATTTTATGATATAAAAATATTATATATATATATAGGTTTGGAAATTATAAGGTTTATTTAATTTTTTCTATAATATTACTAAAACACTAATAATATACACTGTATATATGAAATATTTTTCTTAAATTAATATTTATTTACTTATGGATAAAAGTTAGTTAGATCTACACAAAAATAAATAAATAAATAAATATTATTTTCTAATGGATTAATGAAAAATTTATGATCTCTCTGTTCAAATGTATACTTCAAATGATAAACTATTTATTTAATTTTATTTTCTTGATTTTTTTTTGTTAATTGATATATAAGTTATATAATATATTTTTTCTGATATAATGGTAAATTAAACAAGCTTAATTAAAAATATAAATATAATTTATAAAAAATTATATATATATTTATAATTTAAATTTGGATAAAAATTATCCTTAAAAATAAATTTAATAATTATTATAAAGTATAGTTTATACAGTATTTAATTTTTTTTATATACTGTTTGTATTGTATATAATATATATTTGAATTATATGCTGTATATATATATATGATAAATATTTTATTTACTTTATTGAATAGCGATTTTATATTTATTTATTATTTATATATTATTTTTTTGTGCAACAATTCAAGCATTTAATTGAATACAGATTTTATTTTGTTTTTTTGTACTTAAATGCCGACTTAAAAAAATATTTTTTTTTTATAAAAATAACAAAATAAAGAAAATATCTGTTAGATTTTTGACTTATAAATACTTTTTTGTTTGTTTGTATTTTATAATAATATATTAATATTACAAATATATTTATGGTTTAAAAAAAATTAAACACTAGATATTAAAATACAAATTTAGATACAAATTATATTTAATATTTAATATTTTATCTATTATTTAATTATTTAATTTCATTATTATATTGTATTAAAACAATCTATGGTTATTAGTATAAATTTTTTTATTTAGTCATAAATATCTAATATTATACATATATGTGTTATTAAATAGTTTTTAAAATAAAATATCTTTAAAAAAAATTAAAACTATATTAATTGTATAATAACGTTTCACAACTAAAATAAATTTATTTTACATTAAACAAACAAATATAAATTATCCAAACAAATTGTTTATTAGGTTTTAACATTTTTGCTTTTAGGGCATACCAATGAACAAATAAAACTATTTATTACAATCAAACACACATACACATACACATACACATACACATACACATACACATACACATACACATACACATACACACACACACACATACACACTTTCACTTACACACACATACATACATACATACTTACACACACATATACACATACATACTTACACACACATACACACACACATACATACATAAACATACAAATATTGTGTGTAATACTGTATATCAATAGTATACTAAAACATTACAGTATACTATAGATATTTGTTAATGATATTAACAAAATTGTTATTAGATATACAATACCCTGTAATATAGGGCCTGTATGTTGTAATACAAATTTTTATTTGTGTTAATTAAATAGTTTGTTGGTTCAAATATAAAAAAATCATTACAAAATTTTCTTAAATTGAACATGATAAAAAAATAGTTTTTGATTAATGTTAAACAAATGTTAGATTAGAAACTATCAAACAATTAGTGATATTTTTTTGTATCAGTAATTGCGAAATAATTTTTATTATATTAAATATATAGATTTTAATTCACTGATAAATAACATATATTATATAAATATTTGTATAATTATTTTAAAAAATTATGTTTGTATCATATATTTGTTATCATATAATTAGATATATATTTTTTGTATCATTTTTATTAAAATATATTTAATATATATATATATATATATAAATATTATTCACTGATAAATTAAATAAGTTTTATATATATATATATAAAGATAGTGTGTATATATCTCATACATACAACAAAAATAGTTGTCTAAAATAAATGTCAATTAAGTAATGAAAAATTGTATTCAAGATTAGATCCCTTATATTTATAAATATATATTTTTTTGACAATACCTCTCACTTAGAAAGCTATTTAGTCTATACAATAGATAGTTAACAAACAAACAAAATATATATATATAAATAAAAAAAATACAAAAAAACATTTAGTAATACAAAAATTAGTGCAACAATTCAACGACAAACAAAAAATATATTTAGATATACATGTATTGTAGTGTATATACTGTATATATATATATACTATAATGATATGATAATAATAATAAAAATAACTTAAATATTTTAGTCACACATTTTTTTATTTAATACTGTATAGTGAGTGAGTGTGTATTTTTAAAATTAAGTACTTAACACATATAGACTAATGTATTGTCTATTATATTATATTGTTAGATACATTTACACACACACACACACACATACAGTAAAATAAAAATAAATAAAATTAATTGCATTTATTTTACAATACAGTACAGTATATATATATACTGTATATTGTGATTTTTATAGGCAATTATCTATAAAATAAAAAAATAAAATAAAATAATATAATAGATTAGTTATATTATTAGTATTTAAATTTAAATAGTATACTAGATATAAAAAATCAATTTACTTAATATTATTAATATATATATTTATTTATTTGTTATTCCCGATTATAAATATATAAATTTAGAGGAAATTTTTGTTATATTAAAAAATTGATAAACAATATTACAGTATATTTTTAGATTTTTTTCCAATAAATATTTTTAGTATTAAATTATTATTATTATATATATTTATCTTGAAAAAATACAATTAAGTTTATGAAATAAATGTATTATATTTTTATTTTTTTTGAAAATTAATAAACAGTATTATATATTTTTAGATTTTCTACAATATATTTATAGATTTAAATCATTATTTTTTTTATCTTGAAAAATGCAATTAAATTTATGAAATAAATGTATTTCATTTTTCAATTCAAGCTTTTTTGATAGTTTGAAATTTAATAGTTATTATTTTTTTTGCAATAATATATATATTAATAGACGGAAAAAAATATTTTTTATAACATAAAAAATAATTAATATTTATTCTAATAATCAAATATTTAAACAAAAAATAAATTATTTAAAACTTATAATACATACTATTAGTAGTATCAAAATTGTTTTTTAAATGTATTAAATAAATAATAATTTTGCCAATTATTATACATTTTCATCACTAATTATTACATATGGGAATATATTTTTCATATAAGTTTTTTAAAAAAGCTTAACTACATTGAAATTTTAAAAAATATATTATTTTTATAATTTGTTGATGATTTAAAAAATTGAATACATTTTAAATTATTTATTATTTTTATGTAACTATTAATGTAAAAAACTAATAATAATCTAATATTATTTTAATATTTAATTGTATACTAATATATAGTACAATATCTAATAAATGTAAATTATTTTTCTATGCTAATCAAATTTCAATTTCAATTTCCAACAACACATTAGTTTATTGTTATATTTTTAGTAGTTTTAATGCTAGACTTGATATTTAATTGCTTAAAAGCATTTTTGTAATTGTATTATTATTATTATTATTATTATAGACTCACTACTAAAAATGTTTTTTATTTTATTTTATTTATTTATTTTTCTATTTACTCGCAAAAATACTGAGAGATATAAAAAAACTATTAATTAATTTAGTTTGAAAAACAATTTTATTTTTGAAAAGCATTATTCACAGTATAAATTAACAATTTTAAATGGTATTTAACAAATAATATAATTAAACTTTATATATATATATATAAATAATAATATGTAACTATACATTTGTTATTTAATTTGATATAAAATGTGTGTATATATTCACTGTTGCTACACATACACATACACATACACACATACACATACACATACACATACACATACACATACACATACACATACACATACACATACACATACACATACACATACACATACATACATACACATACATACACATACACATACACATACACATACACATACACATACACATACACATACACATACACATACACATACATACACATACACATACTATGGTGTACATACACATACATACACATACATACACATACATACACATACATACACATACATACACACACATACACATACACACATAATAATTAGCCAGCATCAATTTATCAATGCCTATTAGACTATACCAGTAAACATTTTTTAAAAAAAGACAATAGTGTTGCCAACAATGTTAAAATTTTAAAAAAAATATTTTTAATCTAATTATCAATAAAATTATTTGTCACATAATTTATTTAAAAACATATTTATAGTTAAATTTTTGTTTTTATAAATTATTTTTATTTATATACTGTATATATATATATGTATTTTTAAATTATAATCTCTATAAAATATTACATATTAATACCACTAATTATCACTTATGTAACCAAAAATCTAAAATAACATACAATATATTTTTTAAATAAATTTTTATTTTAGTATTTTTTAATAATATTTTTAGTTTTTTTTGTAGGAATATGATATTTAATAACAATTTTTGGCAACAATTATAATTTATTTAATGTCAGACATTTTTTGCTTGTTTTTTATTTAGAAAATAGTTAGCAAATAACAAATAATATATTAATTATAATAAAAATTTTATTATAAAATTATTTAATGATTTATATTATATGAATTGAAAATTTAATATTTTAAAAAAAACTAATTAGTATTAGTATTATTAAATTTATTACAGTAATAATTTAATTTTAAATGTTTATTATTATTATTATTATTTTCTTTACATATTTATCTCAATTTGTCTAATTTTATTTATATTTATAAATTATAATCTAATTATATTTAAATATATATTATTTTTAAATTTATTATTGTTTTTGTTATTATTATTAGTAATTTGAAATGTGTTTTATTTTCTCTAAATTATATACAACTGTACTGTATTATATCATTGACTTAATATAAATATACAGTAATTTTTAAAAATATATATAAAAAAATAATAATATAGTGTTATATTTTAAGCAATAATATTTGTCGAGTTATATATAAATATATAAATCTAATGTATTTTAGCTATTGGTTGTATAATACACATGGAGTTAGTAATGATATTTATAGATATGTCTCTCTCTCTCACTATATATATTTTTTAGGCTTTACACACACACATACATATACACACACTTACATACACATAGATACATACATACATACACACACATACATAGATACATACATACATACACACACATACATATACACACACATACATATACACACACTTACATACACATAGATACATACACACACACACACACACACACTCATACATATACATACATACACACACACACACACACACATACATACATACATACATACATACATACATACATACATACATACATACATACATACATACATACACACACACACACACTCATACATATACACATATACATGCATACATATATTATGTACATACACATAAATACACACATAAACTTATTAATGTATATTTGTTTTTTGAAAAGTTAAAGTTTAAAACTGTGTTTAAGAAAAAATGTGTGTTTTTTAAAAGATTCAATACATTTTACAAAACATTCAAAATAACGTACTGTTTATTAGTACTGAATATATATACTAAAAATATAAATACATTTTTTTGATTATCATTGTGTGTGTGTGTGTGTGTGTGTGTGTATTAAATAATTAAATATGTGTGCAAAATGTATTTATTGTAGTGATTATTACTAAAATGATAAACAAATAAATATCAATAATAATAATAACAATGATTATTATTATTTTAAATTTTATGTATCAATTGTTAATTAATTTATAATTGTATAAACAATTTTTTTTAACAATATTTAATTAAATATGTTATTTTTGTATAAATATTTGGTATTATTATATAATAATTATAATATTATTTTTAAAAATATTTATTATAATAATGTTTTTTAAAAATACAATTCATTATATTATCAGAATATTCTGTAAACTACTTAATAAATTCAATGAATTTATAACAAAAACATAAAAATTATGTTACAATTAGTCCAATCACTAATTGTTTTGCTGTTATTAATGATTATTATTAATAATAATACGACACTTAAACAATCTATGGGACAGTTATCTAATTATTATTATCATCATCATCATCATCAATGTCATCTACTACCTGTCCCCGACATAACTAGCATTATTACTATACCTACTACTACTACTACTACTACACCATATTATGTTCATATTTTTTATACTACTATTAATGTTCATAATTATCATATTAATAATTAGGTCACTCCCGCGTTTGGTCGGCGGTCCAACCGCCGCTACCGATACCACTACAACCACAGATAGCTTAGGCAACATATATGGCGCTACCGGTGCTGATGGTATCGTAGCTACCATTGTGGGCATTGATGGCGGTGCCGGTGGTGCTGGTGGTGGTGGTGGTGCCGATGGTAATGGTGGTGGTGGTGGTCAACATCCGTATCCCACACTAAGACAACAGTCAACTGGCAGTGTCGTCAGTAATCTGCTATTGACTACCGGTAGTCATCATTTTGAACCGGAAAAACACGCGCACGACCAGTGCGAACGTGTTGTCATCAATGTTAGCGGTTTGAAGTTTGAGACCCAACTACGGACACTACACCAGTTTCCCGATACCTTACTGGGCGATCCCAATAGGAGGATCAGGTATGTGTATTTGTGTGTGTGTGTGTGTGTGTATGTGTGTGTGTATGTGTGTGTATGTATGTGTATGTATGTGTGTATGTGTGTATGTGTGTATATGTGTGTGTATGTGTGTGTGTATGTGTGTGTATGTGTGTGTTTGTGTGTGTGTGTTTGTGTGTGTGTCAGTGTAACTTAATTATGATTACTATTATTAAAAAACAATAATAGATAATTACCTATAAATTAAATTAGCCTTAAAATATCAAATAATTATCATTTTTTATAAATTTTTTTCATAAAAAATATACTTATTATCAGAAAATAACTAGTGTTTAATAATATGTAAAATTTATCATAATAATTTATTTTTTGATTTTTGAATAAACAAAAACAATTTATTATTTTAATGATAGTTTATCTGTAAATTATATTAATAATATTCGTAATTAAATTTTAATTTTAAGTTATAGTAAACATAAACATTAATTATGTAATGAAATTTTAGATTACATCAATAAGTTATTTTAAATAAACATTAAATGAAAATTTTTTACTTAATGGTAAATAAACAGTTAATTATTATTATTATTACATTAAATATTATACATTATTTTTTTTTATAAAGCAAACAACATTAGTAATCATAATTAAACTAATCATTTAGTAATTTTAAAAAACAAAATAAAAAATTAAATCAAATAATAATTTTTACAATTAATTAATTATTATTATTATTATATTTTATAACACCATCATCATCATCACCACCAACACACACCTACCTCGGGGTCGGGACGTCCTAAATCAAACCCAACCAACCAATCAAACCCAACAAACCGATTGACAACAACAACACCAACAACAAAAACGGTCAGATATTTCGATATCTACCGAAACGAGTACTTCTTTGACCGATCCCGTAGCTGTTTCGATGCCATACTCTACTACTATCAGTCGGGCGGTCGACTCAGGCGTCCGGTAAACGTATCGCTGGATATATTTGTCGAAGAGATCAAGTTCTACGAGTTAGGCGAAGAAGCTTTCGATAAGTTCAGGGAAGACGAAGGTTTTATCAAAGAAGAAGAACGTCCGCTACCGGCAAACGGTTTGCAACGCAAACTATGGCTATTGTTTGAGTTTCCCGAATCATCGCAAGCGGCCCGTGTAGTGGCCATCATCAGCGTAGTGGTCATACTCTTGTCGATCGTTATATTTTGTTTGGAAACTCTGCCCGAATTCAAACACTATAAGATCTATAATGTTACCGAAAACTTGACCCGTGTTATCGAGGACGAGACGCCATCGCTGGGCGAACCGTTTTTCATTGTCGAAACCCTATGTATTATATGGTTTTCCCTAGAAATAGTTGTCCGCTTTTTTTCCTGTCCATCCAAACTGGAGTTTATCAAAGATATTATGAATACCATCGATCTGGTAGCTATTGTTCCGTATTTTATTACGTTGGGTACGATTCTGGCCGAACGACAAGCGGCTGCTGCGGCAATGGCGGCGACGACGGCATCGGGTGCTGGCAGTAGTAGTGCCGGTGGCGGCGGCGGGAGTGGTGTCAATGGTGCCGGCATTAGCAGCGACCGCAACGACGATTCAGATCGTAGCCGACAAACGTTTGGCGGCAATGACCAACGCGGCAATCAGGCAATGAGTTTGGCCATCTTGAGGGTTATCCGATTGGTACGGGTGTTCAGGATATTCAAACTGAGCCGTCACTCGAAAGGCCTACAGATTCTTGGCCGTACACTCAAGGCATCGATGCGCGAGTTAGGTCTACTAATATTTTTCCTGTTTATCGGTGTCATATTGTTTTCGTCGGCCGTCTATTATGCCGAAGCCGACAGCGATCGATCCTATTTTAAGTCAATACCCGACGCTTTTTGGTGGGCAGTGGTCACTATGGTTTGTATTTGACTTTTGACTTTTCTATATATTTTAATATAATAATAATAGCAATACTGAGTGTATATATCTAACTGTCGTCTCTCTCTCTTTCTCTCTCTCTTTCTCTCTCTCTCTTTCTCTCTCTCTCTCTCTCTTTCTCTCTCTCTTTCTCTCTCTTTCTCTCTCTTTCTCTCTCTTTCTCTCTCTCTCTTTCTCTTTCTCTCTCTCTCTCTTTCTCACTCTCTTTCTCTCTCTCTCTTTCTCTCTCTCTTTCTCTCTCTCTTTCTCTCTCTTCCTCTCTCTCTCTTTCTCTCTCTTTCTCTATCCATCTATCTGTTTGTCTATAATCTCATTGATACTATATATTAATATATATATATATAGACTACCGTCGGCTATGGCGACATGCGACCAGTGGGCGTCTGGGGTAAGATTGTCGGCTCCCTGTGCGCAATAGCCGGCGTACTAACCATTGCTCTGCCGGTGCCGGTAATTGTGTCCAATTTTAATTATTTCTATCACCGCGAAACCGACCAAGAAGATCTACAATCGATAAACTTTAATCACGTAACCGGCTGTCCCTATCTATCGGGTAACGTAGGCCAGCATCGGGTACGCCGTTCATCCTATAGTGACTCAAACATTTCGCGAGATACCGACAATGGCGGCGACGGCGACCATCAGGAGGCCGTCAGCGACGATAACAATGCCAAAACCGTCGCCGACGACGACAACAACGACCGTCTGTCCGGTCGGAGGTCAGTGTCTCAACAGTCGGGTGTCTATAATAATAACAATAATAATAACAGTAGCACACCGTTGCTGTACACCGGCACCGGTATCTATCAAAATACTAATAATTATGAACATCGATCGTACAGTCCTATCATTACCTCACCAGACATTACATCACAGATCATCCAATCGCGACATTTTAGCCATTATTGCCATCCATTGCCCGTCACGTTGTCGTCGTCGTCGACGACACCTACAGTTCCGACCAGTGCTGAGGTAGTGGTGGTTGGAGAGGGAAAAGCAGAAAAAGAAGACATGACACTCATCAGTAACATTGACATCGGTAATCGGTACGCGACGGCGGCCATGATGATGATGCCCGAACTACCGGTGCTCATACCAGTCCAGTGTATCGGTTCTTCACCGACAACGGCAACACCATCGGTGGTCAAAAACAACACCTGTGCTTCCGTGTTGGCAACGACGCCGCCAATCAAATCCTACTACAAGTCAATGGAAGCGCTCGATAGGACCACCAGTTCCCGTACACCGTCACCGCAACAACAACAACAATCATCGATAATCATCGGTAGATTACCTACCAGTTCCCATCATCATCATCATAAGTTTATCCCCATCATCAGTGATAATAATAATCAGTTATTGTTAGCTGCCAACACCACCGCCACCACCACCAAAACGGCCAGTGCCAGGGCTGGCATAGTGTCCAAACCTATCGGACCTGTCAAACATTTTAATAATGATAAACTAGTAGTAATGATAGATAAGTGTATCATTAATAATAATAATAATAATAATCATAATGTTGTTAACATTGTTGGTGATGATGATAATGATGGGAACGGTAGCTCCACTACTACTACTACTACCACCACTATAATGCCAATTGAAACTGATGTCTGACCACCACTTGATATATATATATAATATGATATATATATATATAATGTACATACAAACAGTGTGTTATTATAAATTAATAAATATATATATTATTGATATATTGATTATTATTATTAATTGAAATAAAAAATTTATTTTATTGTTTTTTTTATACGATATATAAAATTTATATAATTATTGAGAGTAAATGTATTGCTTTTTAAACAAAATAATATATATATATAAATAAATACATTGTATTAAAAGTATACAACGATTATATACATACCATAGTTTATAGATTGTTATAAATTATTATTATTATTATTATATATAAATAAAAACATTAAAGTATTTAAAAAAATAAATATTTTAAGTGATTATAAAATTTATTATTTATATTTATTAAAAAATAACAATAAAATAAAAATTGCTGTTAATATTGTTTAACTAATACAGTATATATTTAATTAGTTATTGATAATTATCAAATAAAATTGTTAATATTATTATACTGTAATTGTTTAGTGATATATATATATGAAAATATCTAAATATGTGTTACAATTTTTTTTTAATTTATTTATTAATTAAAGTTTAGTTAAAATATTATTAAATATTATTAAAAAATATATATATTTAGTATATAATAACCTAAAAGTGATTCAAACCAATGAGTAAAGTATTAAATATTATTATTAATAACAATAATAATATCAAATATATATATATAATATATAGTATTATATATTTTATAATTGAAAATTTTATTAATATTATTATTAATTATAAAAGTTAAATTATAATTTAACTATATTAATATATATAGTATGAATATTTCTAAATAAATGTGATTAATTTTATCAATGTCAATTTTTTTTGAAAAATGTCGATAAAATAAGTAAATGTTATTAAGTGTTAGATATATATTTAAATGTATATAAAAAATAGATTTATCAAGATCATAATCAATAGTTTTTTTTAAAAAAATAGTATTTTTTAATGGTAATTTTTTGAAAAACTGTAATTTTTAATTATTTAAAAAATAAATTAAGCTTGTTAATTTTAAATATATTTTCAAAAATATATATATATATACAAATTTATTGTCATTATATATATATAAAAAAAAGTTCAAAGTTATTACTGTATTAATTATATATATTATATACTATATGTTTAAAATATTATACATGTTATATAACAACTATATGTAATAATCAATTTATTTAATTTTAAAAATTAAACTATTTGTTAAGTTAAAAATCTATAAATATCTATATATAATAATAAGTTTTTTTTTAAAAATTAATAATTGTTTATAAAAAATTGTTATTTACATTATATAAAAGAGCTTACTTTTAAATACAAAACAAAAAAAAACAATTGTTTTTTTAGTTTGTTAAACATATATACATTGTATTTGATATAAAAGTAAAAAATTATTTATTTAAAAAAACACAAATTGTCAATGATAAACAAGTAAAAATATCATCTAGGTCCATTTTTTTGTATAAAATTGAGAAAATAAGATCATATTTAAATAACACACACACATATATAAGTAACTTGGTACATTTTTAAAAAAAAACTAAATATTAGATGTACGTTATATATTAAATATTGAATAATATATTGTTTTAATTATAGTTATATTTGAAAGTCATTTATATATATATATATTGTAAAACTATAAAAGTTAAAAAAAATAAATATTAATTATATAATAAATACTATATATATATATATCAAAATAATATTAATTCCATGTATAATTTTTTATATAAAAGTTAAAATATGTTAAAAAATAAACTATGAATTATTAGTTTTGTTGTTTTTTAAATATTTAAAACTTAAATAATAAATATACAATATATTTATTACAAAAAAAAACTTTAAATATTATCATTTGTTTTTATTGGATGTGATGATTATAAACAATAATTTTTTTTATATACAGTATATTATAAGTATGTATAAAAATTTATGTTTAATTGTTAATTATAAACAATTTTTCTAAAAAATTACTATAATTTAAAAAAAAAAATATTATAATGTTTTAGAAAGTTATTAATATTTATTAAACATTTTATAAATAACTAATCAAATTTTTAATCTCTCCATAATTTTAATCCCCCCATATTTTTAATCCCTAAACTATATATAATCCGTTTATTTAAAACTTAAATAGATAAATAAATAAATAATCAAGGACAATAACTCTAGTCAAATTTATAATTGAATTATTAATTATTAATTATTTTTGTGACTATGAGGTACTGTCCTAATAGCCTAGAAAATTATTTAAAATTATATTAGTTTAGAAAATAGCTTAATATTTAAGTTACAGTTTGTTAAGATTTAGAGGGAAATAAAATAAATAATAAAATTTTTAAAGTAAACTTTATTAAATTTTAATATTAATAAATATTTTTTTATAAAATAATTTAATTAAATAATTTTGAAATTTATTAAATAACTATACTGTAAAGATAAATATATTTTTAAAAACTAAATTTTAAAATTATTTATAATTATTATTATTGTGTGATTTAAATTTAAATATTTAATAACAAATATAATAAAAACTTAATATTTATTTTATATTTATTTTATTTTTTTATTTAGTAAAATACAATACAATTTTTTCAGTTAAATTTTATTATTACACAATACATTTAGTATTTATAATTTTACCCTGCTAATTAATGTGACGTTATTTATTTATTTATTTGTATATTTATGGGCAAATAAATAATACAATAAATGATGTACACTGTTGTAGTAAATTTGTCTTAATATTTTTTTTTTTGGGTACAATTATAGACTATAAACAAATAGTATTAATACAACTATATTGTATTATATAAAAAAGTACTAATATATATATACTGTTTAATATACACTACACTAATAATACTCACTACTATTACAATACAAAAATCAATTATACTGTATATACAGTATATGTGTTCAATGTTTCTATGGATATAATATATATACTTTAATAGGGGGGGGCGTGGCTTAAACAAAAAAAATCTACTATATTACATGTACATTAGTTAATACATTAATAATTATATATATATATATATATATTATAGAGAGAGAGATAAATATCTATGTTTATGTTGTATGCATTGCATGCATGTATATATATATAGTACAGTACTGGGCAATAGTAATGTCACATAAAACCTAAACAACACGTGTAACTATATTAATGAGTGACTCTTTTACACAGTATTTACATACAACAACATTATTGTTAAAAATATAAAAAAAAATTATTATTATTATTATTAAATGACACATGTATTACTATTATTAGTGTAATTTTTATTTTATTTTTTAGTTAAATAATTAATTAATAATAAAAAATTATTTAATAAAAAACAGTAGTTATATATAATAAATAAATAATTAATTAATTTTTTTTTATTTAAAAAAAACTAAAAACTATGGGTATGTTTATGTGATTTATTGTTTGAAACAATTTTAATTAAAATTAAATTAATTGCTAATTATTTTTTTTTATTTTTTATATATATACAAACCCCATACCCACCCACCCCCCAACCACCCTCACTGTCTACCCGTGCCCTACGGCTATATCCCTATAGGCGGACTACTAACCTATTTTCGGTCGCTGTTGGGCTCCCGTGAGATGCGTATACTGATCCTCGGTCTGGACGGCGCCGGCAAGACTACCATATTATATAGGCTTCAAGTCGGCGAAGTGGTCACTACTATACCAAGTAATATACAGACACACACCCACTTAGATCCCATTCCCCTCCACCACCCCCACCCCCTAATTAACTAACTAATAATATACATGTCTATTTTATTATTATAGCCATCGGTTTCAATGTAGAACAGGTAACCTATAAGAACCTAAAGTTTCAAGTATGGGATTTAGGAGGACAGACATCCATACGGCCGTACTGGCGATGCTACTACTCGAATACCGATGCCATTATCTATGTAGTAGATAGTAGCGATAGAGAACGGATAGGTATATCCAAACAGGAACTGGTATCGATGCTTGAGGTAAATTGATTGATTGTGTGTTTCACGCTCATCCCTCCCCCACCCCACACCCCTATTTGTCTGTCTCCTAACATATATGTGGTTATACCATCTACTTGTTCTCTATATGGCCATACCGTCTCTCTCTTTCTCTCTCACACACACACACCCACTCCCAGTGATGTTTGACTGATCCAATTGTCTAACTAACTGTCCCATCATTATGATATTATTTAAACTCTCTTTCTCTCTCTCTCTCTCTATCTCTCTCTCTCGCTGTCCATATAATTGTCACCTAAATTGATGACTACCTCCTATCACATAATATTTATGGTTAATCCGGTTATTACCTGTGCATCCCTTTCCTCTCTTGACTTTACTATTGGTATTCATATTATCTCTCTCTCTCTCTCTCTCTCTCACACACACACACTCCCAGTGATGTTTGACTGATCTAATTGTCTAACTAACTGTCCCATCATTTTTAAAGAGATTATTTAATCTCTCTCTCTCTCTCTCTCTCTCGCTGTCCATATAATTGTCACCTAAATTGATGACTACCTCCTATCACATAATATTTATGGTTAATCCGGTTATTACCTGTGCATCCCTTTCCTCTCTTGACTTTACTATTGGTATTCATATTATCTCTCTCTCTCTCTCTCACACACACACACACACACTCACTCCCAGTGATGTTTGACTGATCTAATTGTCTAACTAACTGTCCCATCATTTTTAAAGAGATTATTTAATCTCTCTCTCTCTCTCTGTCAATATAATTGTCGCCTAAATTGATGACTACCTCCTATCACATAATATTTATGGTTAATCCGGTTATTACCTGTGCATCCCTTTCCTCTCTTGACTTTACTATTGGTATTCATATTATCTCTCTCTCTCTCTCACACACACACACACACACTCACTCCCAGTGATGTTTGACTGATCTAATTGTCTAACTAACTGTCCCATCATTTTTAAAGAGATTATTTAATCTCTCTCTCTCTCTCTCTCTCTGTCAATATAATTGTCGCCTAAATTGATGACTACCTCCTATCACATAATATTTATGGTTAATCCGGTTATTACCTGTGCATCCCTTTCCTCTCTTGACTTTACTATTGGTATTCATATTATCTCTCTCTCTCTCTCTCTCTCTCTCTCTCTCTCTCTCTGTCAATATAATTGTCGCCTAAATTGATGACTACCTCCTATCACATAATATTTATGGTTAATCCGGTTATTACCTGTGCATCCCTTTCCTCCCTTAACTTTATACTATTGCAATACTATTGGTATTTAATATATCGTTTGTCTCTCTTTTTTTACGAATAGGAAGAGGAACTGAAAAAAGCTATACTACTAGTATTGGCCAACAAACAGGACATGGATCAGGCCATGACCATTGCCGAAGTCCATCAGGCACTCGGATTGGATGCCCTGAAAAGTCGGACGTTTCAGATATTCAAGACATCGGCCATCAAAGGTGACGGTTTAGATGAGGCCATGGAGTGGCTGTCAAACGCGTTGACTAATAATAATAAATAGTGTTTTTTTTGTATATTAATAATAATAATTAATTAATTAATTTCTAAATTTATTACAATTAATATATAATTTATAAACATCTATATCTATATAATTTAATTAGATTTTTAATTACCAATTGTATTGTCAGTATATAAATTAATTAATTTTATTTTTGAATTATTTTTTTTTTGGTAAAATATTATAACGTTATATATATTTTTTTGAGGAAAATTTTTTTTTAAAACTATTATTTTATTTTAATTAATTAGTTAATAATTATATAAAATCTTTATATAAGTTTTTAATTGTAAAATTATATGTGCGATAAATTTTTTTAAAAAATGTGTTTAAATCTAAAATATGCACACAATATATATATTTATATATTTAATACTAATTATTACTATTATATGATAGTTATATATAAATTTAATTCAATGATTAATAATTATATTAAGATAGAGAGTCAAAAAAAAATTAATTTTTGAATGAATTTTTTATGTGCAAAACAACAATAAACAAATTGCAAACATTTTTTTTAAAATCAAACAAAACTAAAATATGTATTCATATCTATTATATAAAAAAATACATCAAAAATAATAATAATATTTATTTCATACTTTTAAATATTTTTTTTTCGTTTATTTATTGTATTAACTATTTATATAAACATCAAAATTTTTTTATTATTATTAATATTATTTTTAAATATTTATTTAATTTATTTAAATAACATTTGATAACATTCCTCAACACATTGTTTGTTTGTTTTGTTTTTTTAATTTGATATCAATATATATTTATATAAATATTTTTTTTCTAATTTTTAATAAATAAAAATTGATTGACCTAGTCTATGGAAAATAAAAAAATAAATTTTCATTTTTTTTTATTAATTAATTTTACCATAATATTCACAATCAATAAATTTTTTTAAAAAAATCTATTCATAAATTAATTACTAATAATCACTACTAATATCTATTAATATATATATATATATATATATATATATAGATATATATTAATAGATATTAGTATTGATTATTAGTAATTAATATATATATATATATCAGGGTTAAGCAAGGTTTTGGATTTTAGGGGGGTAGACCGGGGTAAAATTTACAAAATTCTCAAAAAATCTTGGGGGGGGGTATTGGGTGGGGTAAGATTTTTATTGCATTTTTAAACGGCAATTTTTTCAAAAATCCAAAATCAAGGGGGGGGGGGGGGTCTAGAGAAAATTCCCTAAAAATTCCTTAAGTTCCCGAATATTCCCATGTAAATTCAATAAAATTCCCACAAGTTCCCGTATAAATTCCCGGGAAAATAGGTAAAATTTCCAAAAATATAAAAAAAAACTTAAAAAACTTAAAAATTAACAAAAATTTAAATTTTAACAAAAAATAAATATTTTTTAAAAAAATTTTTTAAAATTAATAAAAACTTAAATTTTAACAAAAAAAAATAAAATAATGTATTTAAGATTTAAAAATAGTTGATAAAAGCATTAATGATACACTATGAGTTATTTTTAGTATTTTAATAATTTTTAACTTTTAACATAATTAATTTTTTAAACAATACTTAATGTTTATAGTTTGTTATATATTTTTATTTTTATACAAATACTGACTGAATACTACTTATTTAACTCAAATTTCGTTAAAGTTTAATTATATTAAGTACAAAATTGAAAATATTTTTAAATTTTTTATTTAAAATTTAAAAATTATTAATAAAAACATAAGTATTTATTGTTTTATTAACTTCTTAAACTTATATTTAAATTGTAATATGATTACTCTTTTCAACAAATAGGTAATTTTTAATTTTTTAGTTTATTTTAATTAAAATAATGTTATTTTTTGATGACTTTTAACGTTATTTTAACTATTTTTAATCAATAATTAGATTTTTATAAATATTATAAACATAAAAACACTTACTAAAATAGTATCAACTAAAATTAAAATTTTTATAAATTTCAAAAAAATTTTCGGCGCCTTCGGCGCCGAAATTTTAGGGGGGGGGGGGTCATTTCTCCTCGTTTTTAAGCGACAATTTTTTCAATTTGGTCAAAAAGTCTGGGGGGGTAAAATCCCAATTTCTCGATCTTAGGGGGGGTATTTTGGCCTTACCCCCCCTACCCCCCCCCCCCCTTACTTAACCCTGATATATATATATTAGTTATTAAAAAAATTATTAGTTAATAGTATATACAAAAAAATATATATCAATAATTGTTTTGTTTGTTTGTTTGTTCAACTAATCTATTGATAACAATAATTACATAACAATTACATAATAATTATAATTATTGTTTTTTTATTATTCAATCGACCTCTAATTGCAACCAATATCCAGTCGGCACTGGTATGCCATAGCCAGACAACCCTTAATAATAATACAGTACATAACTACAATAAAATACTAAAACTATAATAAAACTATTTGTATGACTATTTTGTTGTAGGCGGGTGCTGTTTGACAGTGATGCCTGTTTTGTTTCGACCATCACTACCACCGGTGGCGGCGGCGGCGGCGGCCGGTTCGATATCGTCGGGTAATTGTCTAATCTTATTCATAATCCAGTCCATCGACGGCGATACCTGTACACCGTAGGCCGAGTTTTGCATAGAACATCGGGTGCCCGATGGTAGCCGATCGGTAAACAAGCCGACCAGTATGGCACGGCTGGCATTCCAGTTGATTGGTTCGTATTGGACAATTGGACCGCCATCATCTCCCTGGGTCACACAATATAAATATATATATATATATATATATAAACTATATATACTACTACCACTACTACCACTACTACCACTACTACCACTACTACCACTACTACCACTACTACCACTACTACCACTACTACCACTACTACCACTACTACCACTACTACCACTACTACCACTACTACCACTACTACCACTACTACCACTACTACCACTACTACCACTACTACCACTACTACCACTACTACCACTACTACCACTACTACCACTACTACCACTACTACCACTACTACCACTACTACCACTACTACCACTACTACCACTACTACCACTACTACCACTACTACCACTACTAGTACTATATTAAAGGATAGTTAGTGTATATAATATCTACTAAATAAATTCTACCCCCATCCCCTCACCCCCATACCGTGCATGGACGATCAGTTACTAGGATATCGTAGCTCAAACACAACACTTCCGTATAGTTGCACTGTGATCCCGGTGCTAGATTTATCGACATTTGTTTGACGATATCTGTTTTTTTCCAACCATTGTTGACACTACCCCAGCCAAACAAGCGGCCAGTGTCCGGTCGGGGCGGTCCGTATACATGGGCCGGCGGCAAACATATCGGATTGGATGTCCAGTAGACGGCAGTAGATGTGTCTGTCATTGTCCGTATTGATCGTTTAAACGGCCGATGCAGACGTACCAGTCCCAGATTGTATTTGAGCCGATCATCCTTAATCGACCGGTCATTATAAAGCGGATGTATGAACCGATTGGCCGAATCAACAGACCGGAAGTCCCACGTACTATAGCCGGTTGTAATGATTTTATAGGATTCATGGACATGGAGATCGCTGTTTTTATATCTTTTTTTTGATTGGTGGATATATAGTACCGTTAAAAGCAAATAAAATATTATAATACAAACTAAACCTCACCCACACATACACACACATATACACACATATACACACATATACACACATATACACACATATACACACATATACACACATATACACACATATACACACATATACACATATATACACACATATACACACATATACACACATATACACACATATACACACATATACACACATATACACACATATACACACATATACACACATATACACACATATACACACATATACACACATATACACACATATACACACATATACACACATATACACACATATACACACATACACACACATACACACACATACACACACATACACACACATACACACACACACACATGCACACACACACATACACACACATACAGAGCGGTATAATTAATGTAACTACCCGTCCCCCCCCAAAAAAACATACTTAACCAGACAGTGGGCGGCTGTCAATACAAGCTGTAACGTTACCAATACACCGGTACAGTAGCCATTGGTTCGGCCATCTTTTGGATCTCTAAATTCAAGCATAACTGTCCATGGTGATGCTGAACTATTGGCGCCCGCAATGATCCTATTATTTACAGTAGACTTATGAAAACGGAAACATTTGGGATCGTATAGGTTGGCACCTAATGGTCCAACTAATCCACATTCAGGTTTGTTAACCAATCCATGATAGTTGCCTACCGTTACATATCGGGTGTCAATAATAGTAGCTATAAAAACACGACACAACAAAACAGTAATAATAATAATTATTATTATTATAATTAGAATAAATAATAGTTATTATTGTATATAAAATTTGTTTAGTTAGCAATAGATATGTATTAAATAAATAAAATATTTTTTTTACAAACTTGTATTAAACATTAATACTATACTAATTGATAAAATTATTTTGTATTTATTAGTATAGTATAACATTATTATTATTATTATTTTGATGAGTGTATTGAATAAATTTTTTTTTAAAAATTATTCAAATAATATGTTTTTAAAATAATAATAATAATGATGAAAATATTAAATTATGTAAAACATGTATAGACTATAATATATATATATAAGAAGTTTATCTCATATTATTAAATAAAAGACAAAAAAAATATTTATCGATACTTTAATTAAATAAATTTCTAGTAATTTAATATTTAAAAAAATTTATGTTACATAATATTAAATTTATTTAAAATTTAAAATTTACTATAAGTTATTGTAATTTAAAATTTTTTATTTATTTTATTTTATTATTTTAAAAATTGCATATTTATTAAAATTATTATTAAAATATTTTAGAAAAATATTTAAATATAATATTATTGATAATTATTGAGTAAACAAAAAATTAATAACAAATAAAATATTAACTATAAAACAAAAAATTTTAATTATTATAATAAATTTATATAAAAAAAAATATTTTACTAAACAATTATATAAGCAATTAATTTAAATTAAGGTTTTAAATCGGATTTAATAAATTTATAATTAAACTTAATACATATATATATATATATATATATATATATATAGTTAAGCTAGATTAGATTAACCTAGCTAATTAATAATTAACTGATTATTAAAAAAATATATATTATAATATATATAGTAATAAACATTTTGTCATTGTTAATGATGTCTAAACTATATTTTGTATTTGTAGGCGGGTATCACCCGCCCGTTTGGCGTCTCCTAAGATACCCGTTTTGTTTGGGCTACTATCACCATCACCATCACCACGACTAACGGCACCGGCCAGTCTAGCGGTGACCGCAAATTGTCTCAATTTTCTCAAAATCCAGCCAATCCGTGGCGCTATCGGTACACCGTAGGCCGACTCCTGGTCGGCGCATTTGACGCCCTCAAATGGTAGCCGATAAGTAAGCAGGCCGGCCAGTATGGCACGGCTGGCGTTCCAGTAGACTGGCCCGTATTGTACAATCGGACCGCCATCATCTCCCTGGGTAACACAATATATATATATATTTATATATAGATAAATTATATATAGTACATACGTTAATATGTTAGATACTACTACTACTACTACTACTACTACTACTACTACTACTACTACTACTACTACTACTACTACTACTACTACTACTACTACTACTACTACTACTACTACTACTACTACTACTACTACTACTACTACTACTACTACTACTACTACTACTACTACTACTAATACTACTACTACCACTACTACCACTACTACTATACTATTATTATTACTACCACTACTACTATCACTAACACCACTACTATCACTACTATTTTACTATTAACGGATAGTTTAGTATATTAGCCCCCCCCCTCCCCAGTACCTTGCATGGACGGGCATCACCCGTACGATTACTATAGCTCAAACACAACACTTGCGTATGATTGCACCGTGAGTTTGGTTCAATATTCAACCACAATTGCCTAACCCAATCGGTTTGTTTTTCATGCATACTATCGTTGATAACACCCCAACCAAACATGCGGCCAATTTCCAGTTGATTGGGTGCATGAATATTTCTACTATATTCAGGCAAACATATCGGATTTGAGGTCCAGTAGCTGCTGGCGGCGTCGTCGTCGGTATCCGTCCTAACTGTACGATAAAACGGTCGGTTCAGTCTAACTAAACCCAAATCATATTTAAGATGTCCGTTACTGATGGACTTGTTTTTATAATATGGATGTATAAACCAATTGGATCTATTACTGGACCTCCAGTGCCAAACGGTAGTTCCAGTTGAGTGAATATTTTTATACGATTCATAGATATCCAGATCGCAGTTTTTGTATCTATTATAATGTATATATATATATATATATCAGGGTTCACTCCAACTCTCTATACCCCTCAAGCTTTTTCGAGATTTTTTGCCATTTTACCCCCACCCCACCCCCGTAGAAGTCCCCATGAAATCGAAAACCTTTAGCAACCCTGATATATATATATATATATATATATATATATATATATATATATTATATATATATATATATATATATATATATATATATATATATATATATTATATGTATATCAAGGTTGCTAAAGGTTTTCGATTTCAGAGGGGTGTTATAGGTGAGGGGGTAAAATGGCAAAAATCTCGAAAAAGCTTGAGGGGTATAGGGAGGGGGAGTGTACAATTTTTATTACATTTTTTTAAACGACAATTTTTAACCAAATTTTGAGTAAATTCCCAGTAAATTCCAACTAAATTTCCACTAAATATATATTAGATTAAACAGTTATATAAAAAATATTAAATTTTAATTTTTTTTAAAGTAAAAAATACAACATAAATATACTGTGAATTTGTGTTTATTTTTTGTTTCTTAATAATAAAATTCTTTTATCAATGCTCCTTTGTATTATTTAAGCATTTAATTACTACACCTACACCTACACCTACACCTACACCTACACCTACACCTACACCTACACCTACACCTACACCTACACCTACACCTAAACCCATATCTCCTACCTATTCTCATAGCATAATATATATTATATATCATTTAACTTATTATTATATACTGTATATATATTAACACATACACATACAATTAGACTAGTAAACACAATTAACTAATTAGCTTTGACCACACACACACACACACACACACCTAAATACATATACACACACACACATACATACATATACACACACATACATACATATACACACACATACATACATATACACACACATACATACACAAATACACACACGCGGCATAATTAATGTAACTCTCCCGCTCCCCGCCCCCCCCCCCCCATAAAAACATACTTATCCAAACAGTGGGCGGCTGTCAGTACAAACTGTAAGGTTATCAATACACCCGTACAGAAGCCGTTGACGATATGCAAATATGGGTGTTTAAATACTAGCTTAACTGTCCATGGTGCAACAGTAGCATCTGCTAAACTACTATCGGTGCCCAAAACGATCCTACCTTTTGGTTTTTGTAGGTGTCTATGAAAACGGAAACATTTCGGATCGTATAGATTGACACCCATGGGTCCCATTAGACCGCAATCAAGTTTGTTAACACCTATACCTAGTTCATCATAGTTGCCTGTCGTTACAAATCGGGTATCAATAATAGTAGCTATAAAAACATGTAAAAAACAAGTAATTATTATTATTAGTATTATATATGTATTTTAAATAATTTAAAAATGTTTTTTTTTAACTAACTTGTATTAAACATCATTAGTAATATTGATAATATTATATTGTATTTATTAGTATAGTATAACATTTTGTTTGTTTAGGTTTGTTTGATGATTGTATTGAATTCAAAAAAAAACAAAATTAATTATATATATTTTTAAAAAGTAATATATGTTTTATAATAATAATAAAATTTTAATAAAACTTGTAAAACATTTATATTATCACATAATTGAATAAAAAACATAAATGTATATACATATATATGATATCATATATTGATAGTGTGTGTATTGTAAAGTTAGTTATATTTATAGTAATTTAATATATTTAAAAAAAAATATTTGTATAAAATAATTTTAATTTAATTATAAGTTATTGTAATAAAAACATTTTTTTAAAAAAAGTAATTTATTCATATATGTAATAAAATATTTTTTAAAAAAATTAATAATATTATTATTATTGAATTAAAACCAAAAATAAAATTATATTTTTTATTAAATAAAAATCTAAGCAATTTATATTAATTAAAATTATCAGGCTAAAATTAGATTTAACTGATAATAGTTAGTTAAGCTAGTATAAAGTATATATTGGTCTATTTTTGTTGTTGTAAATAATTTAACAAAAATAATAATTTTTATAAATTGATAAAATAATTATAATATTCAATATTAGAGGTAATAATAACTAATCGGATAAAAAAAATAAATTAACAAATAAAAACTTAAATAAAAAAACAAATTATAAATTTATTGTAAATAAAAACTAATCTATTAGTTTCAAATTGTTTTGATTTTATTAATAATAATTAAAAAATTGATAATTTTTTTCATTAATAGTTTTAACGTAAATTAATATATGAAAAATAAAATTTATAATTACAGTTATATAATAATCTTAATATAATTATTTTTTTTAAATACAATAGTAATTTAGAAAATATAGTCTAATTTATTTTTAAATATTAAATAAATATAATTTTATAACATTATAATTAAAATATTTTTTTCAATACAAATATTATTATGTAAACAAAATATATTAGTTTAGTATTACAAATTTAATTAATTTTAATTAAAAAATAAAATAAATTACTTATAAAAAATCAATTATTTATTTAAAAAAAAATAATTATTTATAATAATGTCTGTTAATTATGATTTCACCGATAAGGTAGTTGTAATAACCGGTTCGAGTTCGGGTATCGGTGCCGGCATTGCCCAACTGTTTGCCAAATCGGGTGCCAATGTTGTAGTTACCGGTCGTAATGGCGATCGTGTGGCCAAAGTGGCCAAACAGTGTACAAATGTGTCACCGAAACAGTTGACTGCACTGGAAGTTGTCGGCGATTTGACTAACAATGAGGATTGCAATCGTCTAATTGATACAACTGTCCAAACGTTTGGCAAAATTGATATATTGGTCAACAATGCCGGTTCGGGTAGATTGACGTCAATAGACGACTCAGACTATATGGAAAAATTTGTATTTATTATGCAAACAAACTTGAATTCAGTGGTATATCTGACACACAAATGTGTCCCATATTTGGCCAAAACTCGGGGCAATATTATCAATATATCGAGCGTTGGATCAAAAATACCAGTAATATTATTATATTTATTATTTTCAAACAATATATTTATACAATATATTAATATATATATACTGATTATTAAAAAAGTCATCCAGGTTTTCACCCTATCATATATCTAAGGCAGCACTGGATATGTTTACCAAATGTATGGCCGCAGAGTTGGGACCCAAACATCATATCAGAGTTAACGCAATACTGTATTTAATTAATTTAATTATTATTATTATTATTACTTTTTTAAATAATAATTATTAATAATAATTATTACTTAATTAGATTATTAAAATTATTGTTTTATTTAAAATAAATAATAATTATTACTTAATTAGAGTATTATTATTATTATTAATATTATTGTTTTATTTAAAATAAATAATTATTAATAATAATAATTATTACTTAATTAGAGTATTATTATTAATATTATTATTATTTATTGATAAAAAATAAAAGGCCGGGTTATGTACGGACAGACATACTAATGACGTCGATGTCCTTAAATCGTACGGAAAGTGACCAAAAGTTTGATCAAACAGCCGATATCTATCCGGTTGGTAGACCGGGTCAGCCCCAGGACATAGCCAATACTGTTGCCTATTTGGCCAGTAATACTGAGGCCGGGTTTCTGACCGGCAGTATTGTTGTGGCCGACGGCGGACATCTGGCCGTTGTTGGTCTTAAATAATAATACGAAAACAAAATAATAAATTTGTTTTTTTATATAATAATTCAAAATATAATATTAGAAAACATTTAGTTTTTTTTAGTATGTTTATCAAAATTATTATTATTATTATTAAGATTACTAATTATAGTCGTAAGATAATAGTATAAACTTTAAATTGTTTTTATTTTTAAAAAAAATAAATGTTTTTAATTTAGTAAAATAATATCAATTATTAAAATGTAATTAAATATTTAAATATCATACAATTATTTTGAATAAACAATTTATTTTTAAATTTTCAACTAAATTAATAACAAAATAAAACAAAATAAAAAAATACTATATTTACTAATACATAAGTTAAAAAAAAATAAAAAGTTATAATAAAATTATAGAAAAATTTATTATAATTTTTTTTAAAAAAATTAGTATTTATATGGAATAACATAAGTTTGATTAAATACGATTAGCCAGCTAAGTTTAGATTTAATTAATTAATTATTTTTTGTTATTGTTGTAGATAATTAACAAATAAAATCAAAAGTTTTATTGATTGAAAAATATTTACCTAATAGTATTAATAATAATAATAATAACAAAAAATAGATAAACATAAACACTATAATGTTATAACATTTTTAAAAAAAATAATAATTAATTAATTAATTAATAAAAAAACCTAATATATAATAATAATCAACATTTTTTTTCATTGTTAATTATACCTATAATCCTATTGTATATCCAAAAAAAAAACTAAACTATATTAGTATACATTGTGTAGTCATTTACAACAACAAAAAAATTAATAAACTATTTGTTAGGTTTTTTTTGTAGGCGAGTGCCGACCAGTGCCCGATCCAGTGATACCTTTTTTACGACCACCACCACCACCACCACCACCACCATCATCATCGGCACCGGCAGCTCTATCTTCGTCGGGCGGGAATTGGCTAACAATTAGGATCTGTTCCAGAATCCAGTCCATCCACGGCGATATCGGTACACCGTATGCAGCGTTTTGTCTCGAACATCGGGTGCCCGGCGGTAGCCGATCGGTATGCAGGCCGGCCAGTATGGCACGGCTCGAGTTCCAGTAGATTGGTTTGTATTGGACAATCGGACCGCCATCGTCACCCTGGGTCATACGTACATACATACAGCACATATAGTATGTTAGTTACTACTACTACTACTACACTACTATAGGGATAGTTAGGGATAGAGACTGTGTATAGAGATAAGGACTGTGTATAGGGATATGGACTGTGCTTAGAGATAGGGACTGTGTATAGGGATATGGACTGTCTATATGGATGGTTAGTATTAGCATCATTAACACGCTTACCCTACATGGACGAGCACCTGAATCGTAGCTCAAACACAACAACTCTGTATGATTGCACTGGGAGTTTGCCGACAACTTTACCGACATTTGTCTAACAATCTCCTTTTCCTCTCTACCATCGTCGACTACACCCCAACCAAACAAACGGCCAGTGTCCGCACTGGGCGGTCCATTGGTTATGTTGGCCACAGGCAAACATACGGGATTGGAGCTCCACTTACCCGTTTGAAATTCGTATCGCCTAAACGGATGATCCAGACGTACCAGTGCCAGGTTGTATTTGAGCCGCGATTTATCAATTGTCCAGTTTTTGTAGAGCGGATGTTTGTACCAATAGGCCGAGTCGGCGGGTCGGGAGCCCCAGAAATCACCGATTTTGAACGGTTCGTAGACATGGAGTTCAAATTTTTCGTATCTATTTTTGTTTGTTGAAAGAGAGAGAGAGAGAGAGAGAGAGAGAGAGAGAGAATTAAAAAAACAATCCCTCCCCCCCTTCCTTCCTCCCACACACACATACACACACATACACACACATACACACACATACACACACACATACACACACATACACACACATACACACACATACACACACACATACACACATATACACACATATACACACACATACACACACACATACACACACACATACACACGCATACACACACATACACACACACACATACACACACATACACACACATACACACACATACACACACATACACACACATACACACACATACACACACATACACACACATACACACACACATACACACACATACACACACACACATACATACACATACACACACACACACACACACATACACACATATACACACACATACACACACATACACACACATACACACACATACACACACACATACACACACATACACACACATACACACACACACACATACACACACATACACACACACATACACACATATACACACATACACACACACATACACACACACATACACACACATACACACACATACACACACATACACACACACACAMACACACACATACACACACATACACACACATACACACACATACACACACATACACACATATACACACATACACACATACACACACACACACACACACATACACACATATACACACACACACACATACACACACATACAATCAAATGTAAACCCGACCTAACCACCCCCCCTCCACATATAAAAAACATACTGATCCAGACAGTGGGCAGCTGTCAGTAGAAACTGTAAGGTTATCAATACACCAGTGCATAGGCCATCATTATGCCGACCCGTTGGATCGACAAATACAAGCTTAACTGTCCATGGTGATGCTAGACTATCGGTGCCCGCAATGATTCTACTATTATCGCTATGAAAACGGAAACACTTGGGATCGTATTGGTTGGCACCTAATGGTCCAACTAATCCACATTCAGGTTGGTTTAGACCCAGGTGCTCGTAGTCCGAGTAATTGCCAACTGTTAGAAAACCAGTGTCAATAGTAGCTGAAAAAAAATTATTAAATTTTTAAATTTATTAATTATTTTGTTTGTTTGTTTAAATGTTTTTAATAAGTATTTTTTAAAACTTAAACTTAATTAATAAATAAATAATTACTAACTAGTAATCCATAATAATATATATAATGATAAAAATATTATGTAGTTATTATAGTATAACATTTTTGATGATTGTATTATATTTTTTTAACAAAAAAAACTAAAATAAATTAACTAATTAATAGTTATTTTTTAATATTTTAGAAATTATGCTAAATATCTTTTTTTTAAAACATGAAAAAGTTATAGTTATTTAATATCTATAAATAAAATAATATAATCTTATATTACAATTATATTAATAAATTATTTAAATTTCAAATCAATAGTAAGTTATTGTAATTTAAAATATATTTAAAATTATGTTTATCAATGTTAGATTTGTAAAATAATAATAATATTATATTTAATATTAAATATTAATAATTTAATAAAAAAATTAAAAAAATATAATATTCAGTTAATTTTAGACAGCAGCATATTTTTAGGTAATTTTTTAAAAATAACCTTGTTAATTAATAAACAAAAATGAATTTTATTATCATAAACTAGTAATATATATATAAATAAATAATATATATATATATATCAAATTAGTAGTATTAAAACTGCATAACTAAATAATTATATAATAACATATATATTTATATTTTAAAAAAAAAAATATTATTATTAAAAAATTACACAACAAATTATTTATTAAAATTATTATTATTATTAAAATGTCTAATTAATTATGATTTCATCGGAATTTGTTTGTTATTGAATTACAATGTAATTAATTATTATAATAAGTGTTATTAAATATCATAATTGTTATTAAGTGTTATAATTGTTATTAAATGTTATAATAATAATAATAATAAAATTTAATTACTGTATAGTAAGTTATTCTTAATAATTATAATTATTTTTTTAAATTATTAATTATTAATTTTTTATTAAAAAAAATATAGTTAATATAAATTTAATTTTTATTGTTATTATAGTTTAGTTTTGGTTAATATATGTGTTATTTTAATTAAAATAAATGATAAGAAATAATTATTTAAAAAACAAAAATGTGATTAATCACTACACAAACATTAGAAATAAATGAGAAAAAAATAAATATTTTTTTTTGAATTATAATAAATATTTTACATGACATTAAATATTAATTTTATTTATTAAAAAATAATGTCTCTATTGTTGTATGACTTTACCGGAAAGGTAGCTCTGATAACTGGTTCGAGTTCGGGTATCGGTGCGGCCACTGCTCAACTGTTTGCTAAATCGGGTGCCAATGTTGTAGTCACTGGACGTAATTCGGACGGTGTGTCCAAAGTGGCCAAACAATGTACAGATGTATCGCCGAAACAGTTAAAACCGTTGCAAGTCGTCGGCGACATAACCATAGAAGATGACTGCCAGCGTCTAATCGATACAACTGTCCAAACGTTTGGCAAAATAGATATATTAGTCAACAATGCGGGCACAGGTAGAGTGGCTTCAATTGCCGATTCAGACTATATGGAAAAATTTGCATTTATTATGCAAACAAACTTGAATTCAGTGGTATATCTAACACACAAATGTCTACCATATTTGGCCAAAACTCGGGGCAATGTTATCAATATATCATCGGTAGCTTCAAAACAAGCGGTAAATTTTATTTATCTAATTTTTTTTTTATTGAATCAAATAACAAATAATTTATTATAATATGTATTATGAAATATGTATTTTTATTTAATTATATTATTATAATTAGCTTATAAGTGGTTCACCTTATTGTATATCAAAGGCAGCGCTGGATATGTTTACCAAATGTATGGCCGCAGAGTTGGGACCCAAACATCATATCAGAGTTAATGCTATAATGTATTGAATTATTTTTATTATATATATATTTATTAATATATATATGTATATATATATATATATATATATCAGGGTTGCTAAAGGTTTTCGATTTCAGGGGGGGTATAGGGGGGGGTAAATGGCAAAAATTTCGAAAAAGCTTGGGAGGGTATAGGGGGGTGAACATTTTTTATTGCATTTTTAAACGACAATTTTTGCCAAATTTGAGTAAATTCCCATTAAATTCCCATTAAATTCCTATTCAATTCCCACTAAATTCCCGTTATATATGTACTGTAACTTATATTACTTTTGTTAACACCTAAACTACTGTATTATAGTCCGGGCGTTGTATTGACGGACATAGCTGTCCATTCACTGAATATAAGCCGTGAACAGAGCGACCAAATGTATACAGCAATTGGTAGTAAATATCCGATCGGTAGACCGGGTCAACCGGAGGACATTGCCACTGCTGTTGCCTATTTGGCCAGTGATAAGGCGGCCGGGTTTCTGACCGGCACGTGTTTGTTGGCCGACGGCGGACACATTGCCGCTAATATTTAGTTAGTTTATAAATAAGTTATTATTTTTAAATAAATTTGTTTGTTTGTTTGATAATCAATAAACTATAGTATATTTAGACTAAAATGTATAAAACAAATAATTATTTTTTTTTTTAAAAGTTTATTTTATTAGAAAAGTTTTGTATTAAATATGATAATTAAAATCTTTTATTTTTGATATTTTGAATTATATGCTTAATTATTATTAAAAAACAAAATAATTAATATATTTAATATATAGTATATATACAGTATATACTGTACAGTATATACAGTATATACTGTACAGTATATACAGTATATACAGTATATACAGTATATACAGTATATACAGTATATACAGTATATACAGTATATACAGTATATACAGTATATACAGTATATACAGTATATACAGTATATACAGTATATACAGTATATACAGTATATACAGTATATACAGTATATACAGTATATACAGTATATACAGTATATACAGTATATACAGTATATACAGTATATACAGTATATACAGTATATACAGTATATATACCGTATATATAGCTTTTATGTTACTAATAATAGACAATACAAACAAAATTTTTTATTAATCATTACAAATTATAATATTTTTTTTTTTTTGAAATGATAATTATTATAATAAAAGGTAAAAAATAAACCTCCCTGTCCTCTCTACATATGTATACCAGGGTTAAGCAAGGTTTTGGATTTTAGGGGGGGGGGGTAGACCGGGGTAAAATTTACAAAATTCTCAAAAAATCTTGGGGGGGTATTGGGTGGGGTAAGATTTTTATTGCATTTTTAAACGGCAATTTTTTCAAAAATCCAAAATCAAGGGGGGGGGTCTAGAGAAAATTCCCTAAAAATTCCTTAAGTTCCCGAATATTCCCATGTAAATTCAATAAAATTCCCACAAGTTCCCGTATAAATTCCCGGGAAAATAGGTAAAATTTCCAAAAATATAAAAAAAAACTTAAAAAACTTAAAAATTAACAAAAATTTAAATTTTAATAAAAAATAAATATTTTTTAAAAAATTTTTTTTAAATTAATAAAAACTTAAATTTTAACAAAAAAAATAAAATAATGTATTTAAGATTTAAAAATAGTTGATAAAAGCATTAATGATACACTATGAGTTATTTTTAGTATTTTAATAATTTTTAACTTTTAACATAATTAATTTTTTAAACAATACTTAATGTTTATAGTTTGTTATATATTTTTATTTTTATACAAATACTGACTGAATACTACTTATTTAACTCAAATTTCGTTAAAGTTTAATTATATTAAGTACAAAATTGAAAATATTTTTAAATTTTTTATTTAAAATTTAAAAATTATTAATAAAAACATAAGTATTTATTGTTTTATTAACTTCTTAAACTTATATTTAAATTGTAATATGATTACTCTTTTCAACAAATAGGTAATTTTTAATTTTTTAGTTTATTTTAATTAAAATAATGTTATTTTTTGAAGACTTTTAACGTTATTTTAACTATTTTTAATCAATAATTAGATTTTTATAAATATTAAAAACATAAAAAACTTACTAAAATAGTATCAACTAAAATTAAAATTTTTATAAATTTCAAAAAAATTTTCGGCGCCTTCGGCGCCGAAATTTTAGGGGGGGGGGGGGGTCATTTCTCCTCGTTTTTAAGCGACAATTTTTTCAATTTGGTCAAAAAGTCTGGGGGGGGTAAAATCCCAATTTCTCGATCTTAGGGGGGGGGGTATTTTGGCCTTACCCCCCCCCCCCCCCCCCCCCCCCTTACTTAACCCTGATGTATACCTATTATTATTATTATTATTATTATTATCCCCATACACTCCACGATTTGCCATTGATTAGCTTGACGTGTTGTATCGATTGATTTTTGCCGGTTAAGGATACATCACTAACAAAACAGTTGCCGTTGACGTACATGTTTTTGCCGACCAATTGGCAGACATTTGTTTCCCTCATCGACTGTCCCTGTCTTTCCTCATCCTCGTCCTCATCCTCCCTGTCCTCACCATTTTGTTCAGCTATCTCTCCCTTAGTATTATTATTGTTTTTATCGGCTAAAACTCCTCCATCGCTTAACCAATCATCCAGACTATAGCCCTTTCCCGATAACCATTTGATCAGTGATTTTGGTTCACGACGTTTGCGTCCACAACTACTACCACTACCACCATCAACATCACTGACCCCTTCCCGGGGGTCGTCCACTACTGTTGTTGTTGTTGTTGTTGTGATATCAAATGTATTGATGGTCAGACCGGTCAGATCGGCCGCTATCTTAGCGAACGATTTGTACGGTACAGGTGTTGGCTCCGGTATTACACGCTCTGGACCGCACAGACCCCATACATAGTACTGGCCGCCGGTGTCGACAGCCATTGATAAACCGCCAATAGTAGCAATATCGACAAATACACTGGTGGTGGTGGGGATACTGGTGATGGTAGTAGTATCGGGCACTTGGACCGGATGATGACAATAGCGTGTACCGCGAGTGGCCAGCTGGCCAAACTGGTTCGAACCCATCAGATAGATCTGGCCATCGTAGGTCAGTGCCAGTGTATGCAGATTTTGCGACTCGACTCGGGCAACATTGGTCAGGACTAGCCGGGGACATTTGCGGTTTTTATTGGGCATCAAACCTAACTGGCCGAACAAGTTGTTACCGAAACCGTACAGTTGACCATTGTCGGTCAACACCAGCGAGTGTGCAGTACCGCACACTACACGGCTAATGGTCAGACTGTGTAGTTGTCGGCTGCCGTCCGCCGTGCGATGTTTGCCGCGTAGTCTCAGACGCCACGGCCGTCGATCACCGGGCAATCGATTATTACCGAACTGTCCGTAACGGTTGTAACCCCAGACAATGACTGCACTGTTGTCGCCGGTAATGGCCATTGTATGCCACAAACCGCAGGCCATGTCCGTAAATTGCTCGATACGGGAGCTGAACGCTGACAGATAGTAGCGTAACTGTTTCGGGCCGACAATTGACAGATACGGTTCCCGTCGACACCAGGGAAATACCTGTGCCGAATGATTACGACCCCAACCGTATAGTCTATGGTCGGCCGTAAGGGCCAGTATGCTATAGTCAAGTATATCGTCATCGATGGCTACACTGTACGTAAATTTCTGGACTCCCTGACCGTTAAGCTCAGGCATACCGATAATAACATTGTTGACAATGTTGTAGACTTGATCACTGCTATCGACTACCAGTGCCTCGTTTTGCAGATATACACAAACCAATCGTATTTCAAGTAAAGGTATTTTTTTAGAGTTGATTAGTAGTGGTGTATATTTAGCTAAAACATCCATTAATTTTGATAATATTATAATTATTATTATAATTTTTAATTTAACAAAAAAAATTATTATTTATATATTTTATGTGATTTTTTTTAACATTAATAATAATTTTTAAAAATCTAAATTATACAGGTATTTATGCATTATTATTTTATTATTATTATTATTATTATTATTATTATTATTATTATTATTATTATTATAGTATCTATTATACTATAGTAATTATCAGCAATAACAACAACAAAAAAATTTATATAATTGAAAAAAATAAATGTATTTATATCATAGTTTATAATATTATCAACTGTATTATAATAATTATAATATCTTTAATTAATTTAATACTTGATAACATTGAAAATAAAAAAATAATTAATTAAATGTCACGAAAAAATAAAATAATTTTTTTTTTAAATATTTGAAAATTACAATTATTATTAGTATAATTATTAATAAATATATAAATTAATTATATTAATCAAACTATAAATAAAATAATTTCAATTATTAATTTGCATTAATAAAAAATATTAAATACTTATTATATTAGTAATATATTAAAAATAAAATCTATTATTATCATTAATAAACTAATATATAATTTCAATATTAGATTATTAATACTAATAGCTTTTATTGTAATTTTTCTATTGTTAACTATTGTATTAATAACTATATTAACTATAATAACTACAAATAGTTAACAATAATATCTGTGCAATAGTTTATTATCTATTACTACTATTGTAAGTAATAGTATTTTATTTAATATACTATTAATAAAAACTGTATTAAATTATACTGTAATAATTGAACACCAATGTCTATTCGCCCACACACACACACACACACACACACACACACACACACACACACACACACACACACACTCGTTGCACCCACCCTTGACTCCAACCCCACCCGACCCTACTGTGCTATCAAACAATGCCAAACTTGCGGGCCTTGCCGTCGACTATCTTAATAAGTTTTATTCGCTGACGTTTGGCTGTCAGTGATACGTCACTAATAAAACAGTTGCCGTCGACGTACATGTTTTGGCCAACCAATTGGCAAACGTTTGTCTCAATAGCATTGACATCCTTGCGCTTTACATCCCTGTCCTTTATTTTATTGCCATTATCATCATCATTATTACCACTAATATTAGCATCCTTATTAGTTTTATTATCCAGGTCATCTAGATTTATCTCATTAATCCAATCATCTAGACTATAGCCTATATTGTCAAGCACCAGGTGCTCTACCAGTGGTTCACTACTACTACTACTACTACTACTACTACTACTACTGGCCACTCCCGGCGACGGCGTCGACATCAACTCCAGTTGTTTCTCCTGATCGGCCACTAGTGTCCCGTTTGTCAGTCCAGTTATATCGTTGGCTATCCTATTGAACGATTTGTACGGTACTGGTTCGGGTTTGACCAGTACCCGTTCCCTACACAATCCCCATATATAGTATTGGTTATCCTGATCCCTGGCCATCGACAATCCACCCAACGTAGCAATATCGGTAAAACAACGCATATCCAGTCTAATCGGTACATCATGATACTCGCTATCCTTATGGGCTAACTGACCAAACATATTGCTGCCCATCAAATAGACTATACCATCCCAGGTCAGTGCCATTGTATGCAAACACTGACTGACCACTTGCTTGACATTGACCAACACTACTCGGGGTCGGCAATGATCCTCATTTTCCATCAAACCTAACTGTCCGAACAGGTTGTTACCGTAGGCGTACAACACTCCCTGATCGGTTAGCACCAGTGAATGTGCTGTACCGCATTGGATCTTGGTAATTTTTTGACATTGTTTTTGACTTGATGAATTACTACCACTATCATCATTGTTGCGATGATGGTATAGTTTTAGTCGCCACGGTTTTACCGAATTACGGAAACGTTGTTTACGTGTAGTAGTACGGGTATCCCTATAGTTGCCAAACTGGCCGAACATGTTGTTACCCCAGACTACCAGTGCATGCTGGCGGGTAACACCCATCGAGTGCCATAAACCGCACGCAATATCCGTAAATTGTTCAGTATAGTTACTCATTGGGCACCTGTAGTAGCGTATCTGTTTGGGACTGGCTATCTTCAGGTATTCCTTATCATTATACCAGGCAAACACTTGCCTGTATTGATTACGTCCCCAGCCGTATACCCGACCCTTTTGAGTCAATGCCAGTATATGATAGCTAAATAGTTGGCCAGATATACCGATACCGTATTCAAACTTTACTACCTGTCGGCCGCATAGCTTAGGTAAACGATGGACAACATTGTTGACAATGTTAAACACTTGGTCATCATCTCGGGTGACTACCAGTGCTTCATTGCGCAAATAAACACACAATAGTTTTATTTGTTTTAACTGTATTTGCGGACGACTGTCCTCTAGTAGTTTATATTTTTTCAATACATCCATTACTACCACCTCTAATAGTAATTATATATACAGTATATATATATATTATATTTTTGATAAATACCTAAACAAAATTTTTTATCATTATATAGATATATACACTATTATACTGAATAATAATAATTTTTAAAAAATACATATAGTTTTTATATGTGCAATAAAAAAATATATTACTGTATATTATAACATATTTCAATAGTATTAATTTTTACTATAATAATATAAATTATATTCATTTATCTTTAAGTAGCTTACAATATATTAAACTAATTTTTTTATAAGTTATAAAAATGTTACAATATAATATAAACTAATTTTTTAAAATTAATTATTAATACAGTAATAGTAAAACAATCAGATAAGTACAGTATATATATATAATATAATTTATAAAAATAATAACGATATAAACATTACAGTATAAAAAGTATAATAATTGATAATATAATATATAAAATTATAAAACACAGTATTAGTAATTATATTAAATAAGTATTATATTATGATTATTATTATAAATTATATATTAATAGCGTAATTAAAATTAATTATATTTATAAACAACAACAACAAACATTTATTAATAGCCATTAATCTAATTAAATGTTTAATATATTTTTCAATTTTATTATTATAAATTTATATATATATATATATATATATATATATATATATTATATATTTATATTAAATATTATATGTATAATATTATAAATATTTTATATTATTATTATTATTTTAACAACACACACACACACACACACACACAGTTAATACAGTATAGGTTTTATTTATTTTTTTTTATAATTTAAATAAATATAATATATAATTAATATGATTTATTAATACACCTAACAATTAGTAGTTATACTACAATTAATACTATTTTATTTAAATATTGAAATTATAATTATAATAAAATAAAATAATAATGTTGCTATTTTTATACTATTTATCATTCAAAATTTAATCTTAAAATTTATATATATAGGTATATAATATATTTTTATATACTATCAATAGTTAATAATATTTACTTATTATTGGTGATATTAAATACAGGATATAAAAAAAATATTACTAATTTTTTTTTTATTTAATTAGTTTATTTTTGTTGTTGCAAAACTACATTGTTATGTTTATGAAAAAATTTATGATATATAATTAAGCTAGTAATTAAGTCATCAAAAAAAATAAATAAAATTTTGAAACTAAATAATTTTTGTCAATGTAAAGTACACTATTATTATAATTATTATAAAATTTTTACATTTTATTAAACTAGTAAATGTCAAACAATAAGATAGTAAAGTACTTAATGTAATCTAATATACGGTATATATATTGATAAATATGATTATTAATATAGACAATAATATAACAATAAAAAAAAAATATGAAATAATAATGATATAAATTAGAGTATAATTAATTAATAAACAATATATAAAATACTAAAATAAATTAAATAATAAAAAAATTACTAAAATTAAATTATATAACAATTAAAATAGTAGTTTTTCTGACATAAAATTATAATAAAATTGATTTTCATATAACTTTAATTTCGATAATTGATCTAAAAATTTATGATTAGTTTTCAAATTATTAACATCAATACAGCAGTAGTCGTCATCTAGTTTGGCCAATACTTGAGCACAGGTAGGTCTCAAACGGTATAGCGTGGATAGCATTGTCCTAAATAAACCCAATAGTCCTGAAAACGGTTTTACAAGTCCGGGGTCTATGGTATTACTTTCGGGTACACTATAGTAATACACGGGTAATAATAATAATAAATTTTGAAAAAAATTTAATTTCACAATTAAATTACTTACTCATTGATATCGATATCAAATATATCGCACCCGACAAGTGCCAGACTATAGACATCGGCTGCTGTATTATAATAGCCGCGACCGTTGAGCACTTCGGGTGCCATATAGTGTCTGGTGCCCACACGTGTCGTATGTAGCCGATCATTATCATCACCAGTGGACAGTTGACTTTTACTACTACTACTACTACTGGTGTGCAATGTAGCCAAACCAAAATCGGTTAGCTTAATAAAACGGTGCGGTCTGAATTTACCGTTACTACCGGTGCCGGCACTACTATTAGTGGTAACTACTAAAATATTTTCCGGTTTCAAATCCCTGTGCATAATAGCCCTGGGCCTTAGACTATGCAGATAGTCGACACATTCGCATAGTTCGCGAAACAATTGGCCAGACATGTAATACTCGGCCAAACCTATTATCGATGGATTGGTTGGATGTGTGCCGGTTTGACGGCCAAAAGCCCCCGCTTTCCAGTCTAGTATTTGTCGCAAATTATAGTCACAGTATTGCATTTGAATGCATAGTAGTAGACGACTACTGTCCAGTTGGCTATCAAACCACGAGTTATAGTATTTGACACAATAGTCGGATTCAACTGCAACCAGGCTCTGGATCTCTGATAATACCGATTCAGATCTATCTATTAGTTTTCAAATTGAAAAATAAATATAATTTAAATAATAATTATTATAATTACTATCAAAAAAAA